TCCTTAAGGGTGAAACGGGGGGTAACTTTGGAAAATCAAATGGGATGACCCGATTTTTTTCATATTTTGGTAGTACATAAAAAAATGAATAACTTTTATTTAAAACTTTTTTTCAATTTATTAACAGATGAGGCTGTAATTAAAAATTTAAGAAAAATGGGTTTCCCTGTTAAATGTATTATTTGATTGACAGTTTCTAGTTACCTTATTTCAAATTTGACAGTTTCTAGTTACCTTATTTCAAATTTGAACACGATTTAAGTTCGCGATTAACAGAAGCAATTTTCGAATAGAAAATCAAAGAAGCCATGGAGTATTTATCGGTGCAGGAGAAAATCGAAATAGTTTTAATTTATGGCGAGGCTGCAAGGAATGTGGATGTTGCTGTGGGCCTTTATGCTGAACGTTTTCCCGACGGGCCTCGTTCCCGTGCCACCATTTATCGCGTTGTCAAGCAATTTACAACTAAAGGCAGTATAAAACAAAAAAAAAGACTCGTAGAGCTGTTACAGGTGAAGAAAACAATCAAATTGCCGTGTTGGCCTCAGTAGCTTACAACCCCCACGTGAGCACCCGTGCAATATGGCGCGACTCAGGGATTGCTCTTACAAGTGTGTGGAGGATCTTGAAACGCCAAAAGTTCCATCCCTATCACATCTCCCTGCATCAGGAGCTCCATGGGGATGATTTTAACAATCGTGTGGCGTTTTGCAATTGGGCACAGGCTCAACTCGTTTTTTTCCCGAGTCCTATTTTCTGACGAATCCACCTTCACCAACCACTGTGAAGTAAATAGGCATAATATGCATTACTGGAGTGTGGAAAACCCACGCTGGCTTCGTCAAGTGGAGCACCAGCGTCCCTGGTCGGTAAACGTTTGGTGCGGTACCTTTGGCGAACGATTAATCGGACCCTTCTTTATTGACGGTACATTAAATGGCGAAAAGTACCGGAATTTTCTAGAAAACGATCTGCCGGACCTTTTGGAGAATGTACCACTAGCACGGCTCCAAAGCATGATGGTTGTCCAGCGCATTATTCGGCAATTGCTCGAGCGGTGTTGGATCGGGAATTCAATGGCCGGTGGATCGGTAGACGTGGTCCAGTAAGTTGGCCTGCTCGATCTCGATCTTACGCCACCAGACTTCTTCCTGTGGGGTTACTTAAAGGAAAAAGTTTACGCTGCAATTCCTACAACTCGGGAGGACATGGTGGAGCGGATCAGGAACGCCTGTGCGGCGATACCGCCCTACATGTTGGCGCGTTGTGTGCCAGAATTCAATACCCGCATTCAAAAATGTGTTGAAATGGAAGGACGGCATTTTGAACATTTGTTATAAATTGTTTTCAGAGCCAACTATTGTTGATTTAATGTTAATTTTTGTTTTTCAAACGTTTCAAATAATACATTTTACAAGGAAACCCATTTTTCTTAAATTTTGAATTACAGCGCCATCTGTTGATAAATTGAAAAAAAGTTTCAAATAAAAGTTATTAATTTTTTTATGTACTACTAAAATCTGTGAAAAAATTCGGGTCATTCCATTTGACATTCCAAAGTTACCCCCCCTTTCACCCTTAAGGAGTAAAATGCGTATTTCTCGAGATATTGAGCTGTCTCAAGTTAAAAGAAACACCCTGTATGTGAACTGTTTAATTGTGACACTGATTTCAGTCCTGTTACCGTTTAGGGACACAAAAACATTGTATTAGTCAGTTTAGTAGTATATATGTATGTATTTTTTTTATATTTATTTTTATATATCGTATTTAGGCAGGCACCCATCCTCAAGCTTGAACTTAGTCCCCCTTAGGGTTTTAACTTGAGAAGGCACCCCCATTATAATTATGTTCGTGGAAATTTACCACACAGTTTAATACATAAAGAATTGTAAAAAAAATAAGGACAGTTGCAAAGAGGCAACTATAAAAGTGGGCTATGTGCAAAAAGAATAACCGAATACCGCATGACGCCCGTTTATTAAACACCGTGTGTTTAATAAAATACATCCTAGGCTCTTTCATACAACGGTTTGATTAATTAGACAAAATAAAAAAGAAACCTCGCTCTGGCTCTACTGCGTAATGTTATTATTAGATCATTTACACCCACTAATAATCAACAACTAATGTTAAAAAACTGTTAAAAATTTATCACACTATAAGATATGTAAATTAAATATAAAAAGGTATGTTTCCCTTACCTAGAGGATTATTTTTTACCAAAGCACTAAAAAAAACTATCAACAGCAGGCTTCGCGTCTGTCGGTCGAATTCCTACCTTTTTTCGTTCTCTTGGTAACCCCTTGCCTGCTTGTTTACATTCCAAGACCCACTAACTTTTTATACAAGCTACTTAATTGACCATATGCAAGGAATGCGGTCGATGTTGCCAATGGTAAAAAAATAAAATTCCCTATTGGGAACATTCAATTATATTACGTTGGCTACATTGAAAATTTTAATTTCCCGCACAAACTAAATTAATTTCCATCTTTTTTTTTAATAATAATAAATATTAATAATTCCCACATTTGAAATTCGCACCCTAATTTATTATACAACATTGGAACTACCTTCTTTATCTCTGGGAACTACTAGAATGTATGTCAGTTTGTGCGGGAAATTCAAAATTTCAGTGTAGCCAACGTAATATAATTGAATGTTTCCAATAGGGAATTTTATTTTTTTTTACCATTGGCAACATCGACCGCATTCCTTGCATATGGTCAATTCGTTATAATTGTAAAGAGATCAATTGGCTTTACAAATTTTGACAGAGACTGACGTTTTCAGGTTGGGTTTTTTTTAATCTCAAACCAAAATGCTTCCGGTGTTTGACAGTAGACTTTCGCGCGCATAGTTTGAAGTTTGAAAAAAAGTTGCAATATTCATAAAATACCAAATCGTACAACCAAAATAACTAGACGATATATAGAGTAGAGATTTTTAAGAAAGGTCAATGCTGTATTATTTTTAACTTGGAAACAAAGATTTAAAAAAGGTCTCTTTAAGGAATAGGTAGATTTCTTTAAATGTAGATGTATTCCTCTTTGCGTTTTTCTCGTTTGACAGATGACAGTTCAACGTAGACGCCCCTTTGAAAGATGGCGAAGAAGCTGTAGGAATCTTGGTCATCCTTACAACTTTAGCAATTGAACTATCTGGATCGACGCGGTCTGGGAGTAGGTGTCTCCCAGCAATTCCGTTTCTCAGGTTGTCGTTCCCAATCACATGGTACCTATAAATAGTGAATAGAAAGTGATGAGTACCTAAATAGAATACAAACATTTTTCAAAACCACTAAAGTTAGTATTAGCTGGAATGAAGTTGTTAGTATCACCCACAGGAGTCAAAATGACATTGACTAAAAATAAAGTATGGCTAAAACCAACATCACCCGAGGATCTTATCCTTCGCCCCTATTCTTGATTCCCCGTTAGGATGTTAGTCTTGCAAAGAAAATAAAAAAACGTAGAATCTCAGTTTTTTTAACATCTTTTATTTTTTTCATAATGAAACAGTTTAATACAAAATGTATCTTATTACTACATTTAGTAAGAGCTACAAATGTAGTTCTGCACAACCAGCACTAGCAACCAAAGCTGCAGAATGACAAATGCAGCACATTAATATGACGTCTGAAACTTCATTTTTTAAATGCGAAAAAAAAGGAATAGTTTTTTTCCACCATCACATTTGCTCCATCGGAAGCCACACCAACTATATAGTTATATATGTTTGTAATGGGTATATGTTTGTAATGGCCATACCCGGGTATTTCATTAAACAGCCACACCAACTATATAGTTATATATGTTTGTAATGGGTATATGTTTGTAATGGCCATACCCGGGTATTTCATTAAACAGTTTTTAAAATGGTTAAACAGTTCAACCGCACTGGAATCAGCAGCATTAAGCTGGACCAGCTCTAGAAGTTGGGTCACTATTTTAAATTGTTTTGCATAGCGAACTAAAACACACATACATTTTACTAATGTCTGTGGTCTCATCAACAAGCACAGAAAAAGACGTGTTGCGTAAATCCTTGACAAGAAAAATGGTTTAGTATTTTCCAACAACATTTTTTATTATTTCTGTGCATTTAGTTCTTCCTAATTGTAAGTCTTGGCAAATGATCAATTATATGAGTAGCTACATTGTGTTCAGCAAAAAAGATACTTAGTCTTATTTCGGCACTTTTCACGGCATTTTGGTGTTTAACACTATCACTACTAGGAGTTAAAAATAAAGACATACTTGAACTAGATTTAACAACAGCCATATTTTTTAAATGTTTCTGACCGGATGCATGTTTTGTAAGTTAATTTTTACCACATAAAATCTTTGTGTTACACAATTTGCATACACATTTTTTATTATTGTTTGGTACAGCTTTAAGCCACATTTTAAACCACTTAACGTAAAATTTCTTTTCTTTTGGTTTACTTATTTTAATTTTTTTCACTTGCCGACTACTTTCAGATTCGCTGTCACTAATGTCACTGTCATGTTTTTAATTTCGATTTAAAAAATGGATCAAAGCATAAATTGCGACCCACGACGCGTCGTGACGCACTGATGTAATGAAACTCGCCCTTTATATATGTATATAGGGTTCGAATGGGATTCCCCGAAATCGGTCCGTATTTCGGGAATCCCCTTAAAAATATTATAATTATAATTTATAAATATTCCTGGAATATTTCGAATATCTTGAACAATCCTGAGGGATATTATTAGAATATCGAATTCCCATTCGACTTTTCTAAGAATTTTCTAAACTTCGTGTATATATCTATTATTCTTAAAAAATTAATAAGGGATATTGTTAGAATATCTGACGAATTCCCTATGGACTTTTTTAGGAATATTCAAAACTACGTCTATATATCTTTAAAGCATGATGCAATGTTTACAAAAGTTTATTCAGTAAATGTTGTAGGAATATCTAATGTTCTTTGGGAAGCTTATTATAAACTTTACTAATATTTTTAGGTCGATGGAGGTATGACTGCTAATAAATTACTTATGCAATTGCAAGCTGACTTAGCAGGAGTAAATATTGTAAAACCCAATATGGCAGAAAGCACGGCTTTAGGAGCTGCCATGGTTGCAGGTGCAGCTGTTGGATATTGGGATATTATGGGATCCCGCCTGGATATTCCATTTGAAAAATGGGATCCGAAATTGACAGAGAATCAAAGAGATGTTAGGTACTCTAAGTGGAAAATGGCTGTGGAAAGATCAATGGAATGGGATAAATAATTTATTCAATTTTATATAGTACCAGTGTTCTGTGTTTTACATTAAAAGGTTTAATTGTTTTTTAAAAGTACTTACCTATTATACCTATTAGGTATAGGTTTTAGATTATAGATTTTTAAATAGGAAATATTTTTTATGCGGTAATAAATTTATTCATTTGTGTTACCATAACGTTTTAACGTTTGTTAATTTTAATTTCATATTTTGTATAGTTTTTAATGACATTTAATAATACCAATAAAAATAATAAAAAGTTTTTATTTAGTAAATAAGTTAATATAAATTGTGGGGTGAAGTCTAGCCCAGGCTCCTCTACCTAACCCAACACAAAATCAAATAAGATACAATATATAAGCTAATAATTCAACAGGTCCACAAAATAAAAAAAATTATGAAGAGGAGGAATAAGAATTTTTGATGGATTAACAATCGGTTTTCTTATTATATTATGTAATCTAATGTTAAAAGAAGATCTCGAGGGCCACACATTCTTTTGGTACTCTACTGTTAAACATTCACAAATAACATGGATAGGTACTTCAGATTGCTGCCCGAGTATCATAGACAAAATTTCTCCACATATTTGCCACTGACGTTCTTTATATATCATTTCCCACATAACAAGAAAATATAGATAGGATATACATAGGATATACATCTATGCATATTCGTATATTCGCGAATATCGTATGGATATACCATGGATATCCATAGTATATCCATGACGTATATCTTATGTATATTCCTGGATGTCCATAATATATCCATGACATATATCAAGTACATTAAAAACTCGTAATATAGACATTCATAGTATATCCATGATGTATATTCCTGAATGTCCATAATATATCCATGGTATATATTATGTATATTAAAAAACCCGAAAATGGATATCCATAACATATTGTTAGGGTATGTACGAAAAAAAAGTATTTTTTTTTGGCCGTTGCTAGTCGTCCGTATAATCGGACGAATAAAAAATATTAATCGTCCGATTATCGGACTCAAACTCAACAACACAACCCAACCGACCCCGCCCCAACCGAACACTGTTTAACAAAGAAACAACAAATTTATGAAATAAAAAAAAAAAAAAAATTCGACAGCTTCTTAGTATCGAACCCGGGACCTCTCGCATGCCAAGCGAACGCCCTACCATATAAGCTATCTAGCTTGTTGTCAAATATTAAACGGTCGGTGAACAAAAGCGGATTATAATTATGACGTAACTTCTCGGAGGACTAGCTTCATTTTATTCGTCCGATGATTGGACTATTAGACAAGTCGTTTTTTTTTTATAAAATTATATGAATCGGAAAATTTTCTTATGTGTATAATGTCTTTCAAGATAAATAAACTAACGACTTATGTCGTTTAAATGGATCGCAGCAGACTTCACCAAAAATTTTGGTAAAATAATGTAGATACTTTAATTTGTGATACCTACCTACGTACAAATATCGGTTACAGTTGCATCCACTCGCCTTTCTATTAAACCCTTTTCCTCCTTATAGTACAAGATTCAATCGCGAAAAATATTTTTATGGCATTTTTCATTAATTAATTTTCCAACGGAACAATCACAGACCTACATACAATCCATTTTTGGACACTTCAAACTATTTGACACTTTTAAATGACAGAAATTGGTAAAACTGTTTTTAGAAAATTATGCACAATTTAATAGTTTATTATTTTGGTTTTTGTTTATTTACCACAGGTAAAAAATTACTATGTTTAAAGTAAGTAGATTAGTTTTTATGAATATGTAAAAATTTCAATATCTCCAAATCATGCCTGATTTCATACTGGGGTGAGTATGAGATCAGGCATGATTTTCAGTTAAGGGTACCTATTCCATAAGTTCCAAGCTTACAAGCTAATTTTATTTAAGCTTATAAGCTATAGCTTATATATAGTTCTCGTTTAGATGTAATGTAATGTAATCTATAGGGTATAGTTGTTTATTTGTGCTTGTCCCAGCGGTCCGTTAATACCCCTTACCCGCACAAGCTATAGCTTGTGCGGGTAAGGGGTAGGAACGAACTTCAGGCTTAAAGTCCCCTACGAAGGACTATACACAATGGGACAAATACAAATAAACATCCATGGTTATGGGTATGCATACCCACGAGTTTCGATCGGGCGCGAATATTAGTTCAAAATCATGTTTGTTCTCATACTGGGGTCTGTATGAGATCACGTATGATTTTCAATATGATTCTAAGTTCCAAAGCACGCCTGATTTCATACTGAGGTCAGTATGAGATCACATATGATTTTCAGTATAATTTTAAGTTCTAACTCAACCATAGAGGAATGGCGCCAGGTAAATTGCGCCAGATTTAAGAAATCTTTTTTTTGTAAATACCTAAATTTTTAATAAAAAAATTAACTTTTCAGCAATCAAATTTTATTGGCGTATTAATTGCCGTTGGTCTTTACTGTTCCCGTTCAAAAGTTAAACTTGTGATCGTCTACCATATCATTTATACTTTAACGTACGCCAAACTATAAATGACATGGTAGACGATGTTTAACTTCGATTATTGATTATTTAAAATAATCGTTTTTTTCTATTAATCGATTATTTGATTAATCGATTTTACCTGTTCATTTTACAAAATCACATATGATTTTATTCTGACAACAGTATGATTTCATTCTGACAACAGTATGATTTCAAAGCCAACGTCAGCGGGACCAAAAATCTCGACTGATTTTACTTATTCTTTAAAGTTTTCTTTCTACCGGTTTCTACCGGTCTCTTTACAAAATTACATCTGATTTTATTCTGACATCAGTATGATTTCAAAGCCAACGTCAGCAGTAACAAAAATCACATCTGATTTCAGTCTGACTTCATATTGCTGACATTCGCGTATGCGCTACTGACGTCAGATTCTCGACAGACGTGACGAACGATTTTCACGTCTGATTTTATTCTGACGTCAATATGAAATCATAAATGCTAGCTGGGCCCAGTAAACATTTGTGATATCACGAAAAAGTCAAGACGTGACATGTCACAACTTGATATCCAATTGCTGGCACAGTGATTAAGTTTGTCGTTTTATGTCAGCAGTGACACGCGCGTGATCTTTTTATGTCACGACGTGACCCCGCAGGAACGAAACTTTTCATTTAAATGACATTACTTTAATTTGGTCATAAAACGTTAATTACGTACCTATTATGTTATTATTGTTAGACACGTTATAGGTTAATGCTTTTAAACAATTATTTCCCCAAAAATATATAACTTCACTTTATATTTGTTTGCGATTTTGCAAGCGAAGAAAAAAATTAAATTCGTTTCCGTTTTATTTTTAATTTATAAATAATAATAAACTTAAAAAAAAGCAGTATCATAATCAAAAATTTTATTTTAAATAACTATTTGGGATGTTTCAGCGCCGCCTCTGGATTAACTAAATTTAATTTACATTAAATTAAGCCCTTTGCCTACTACTAAAAACCTAAAAGGTTTTATCAAATTCGCCCAAAAAATAAATATTTTTTTTAATAACTTTACCACCCTGCCTCTCGAAAACGAAGCTTTAAAACATAAATACTTTTCTTCTGATATTTTCGATTTCTATAGATCACTAAATTTTCCCAATTAAAATCTGCGAAACCCTGTATACATGTAGGTATTATACTTATAGCCCAGCAAACACACTAGTCCGGCCATGCAATGGCACATTAATGGGCCTTGCATGGCCGGAATAGTGTGTTTGCTGGGAGGATACTTGATGCACCCTGTATAAAGGTAGTGTGCAAAACTTGTCTTATTATTATTTTATTTAAATAAATGTTGACTGTTAATATTTTAGCCCATAATTTTATTTCACCCAAGGCCGCAAGTTTGTTGAAGCTGTGATATACGATAAGAGGGTCGTCGCTATTGTTACTAGCGATGCAACGTGTTTTAAAAGACGTTGCATCGCAATTAACGATAGCGACGACGCTTTTTTCGTTTATCAGAGCTCCAACATGTTTTAAATATTCCCCTGCACTTTCGCTCGCGCATGCGCGCTAGCAATGTCACGGAGTGATATCCCATTGAGTGCGTATTGCGCTTGAATGTCACGACTTGATATCCCATTGATTGTGTATTGTGGAAACATATGAATGCGTCAGTGATATCACGATGTCAAGACGAGATTTCGGAGTGATTTCAATACGCAATCACAAATGTTTACTGGGTTAGAATCATATTGAAAATCATACGTGATCTCATACAGACCCCAGTATGAGAACAAACATGATTTTGAACTAATATTCGCGCCCGATCGAAACTCACGTGGGTATGCATACCCATAACCATGGTTGTTTATTTGTATTTGTCCCATTGTGTATAGTCCCTCGTAGGGGACTTTAAGCCGGAAGTCCGTTCCTACCCCTTACCCGCACAAGCTATAGCTATAGCTATAGCTTGTGCGGGTAAGGGGTATTAACGGACCGCTGGCCTAAAGTCCCCTCGACGATACACAATGGGACAAGCACAAATAAACAACTATACCCTATAGATTACATTACATTACATCTAAACGAGAACTATATATAAGCTATAGCTTATAAGCTTAAATAAAATTAGCTTGTAAGCTTGGAACTTATGGAATAGGTACCCTTAACTGAAAATCATGCCTGATCTCATACTCACCCCAGTATGAAATCAGGCATGATTTGGAACTTAGAATTTATATTGAAAATCATGCGTGATCTCATACCGACTTCAGTATTAAATCATACATGATTTTGAATGACTGAAAATCACATCTGACCTTATACTGACTTCAGTGTGAAATCACAGATGGAAAACAAAATCACAGATGCTATCTATTAATAGTTCAAATAGTTTAAATTAATAAGCATTATTAAGACACCTTTGGTACAATGAATCAATATACCTGTTAGGAGAGATTGGTTTTTCACTTAACCCTCCTACTGTACCAGATCCGTGAGTACCCACATTACATGGCGATCCTGCCACCGAGAAAAAAGTAGTTAGTGATATGTGCCAGTAAAATAAATAGTTTAAGAAGATCAAATAGTAGCAGTTGAATATACAGGGATGGAGAAAATAGTGCCAGTTAAAATAAATAATTAAAAGTAAGAAGTAATAATATCAAAATGGGGAAGTCAAACTCGAAACCTTCTATAGAACAATCCGGAGTGATCGCAGGCGGAAAAAACTATATAAGCGAGACCTACATAGAATCCATTTCTGTTGGTGA